TATGCGCTCTGATATAACTAACAAACAAATTAAACTCTAAAAGCTAAACTAAACAAATAAGTTTTGAGTTCTTTCTTAAAGGACAGCAAAGAGTCAATGTTTCTTAAATCAGATGGGAGAGAGTTCCATAAAGTAGGGGCGGCAACAGAGAAAGAGCTAGAGTCTTAGTTTTTTTTATTTAGACAGCAAAACTTTTGTATACAACCACAACATGGCTACAACTATCGTAGGACTATCAAACAATATTATTTTGAATCTCTACAACAGTTGTAATCATGTAGTAAAATGACTTGCGCAGGTTGCTTGCAATGGTTGTATGTAAACGTTGTGTGTATTCTGCCTTAAATATTGACTAGCAGAGAGGTCGAAGAACCATAATAATTAGTTTTATGGCTACTAATGTGTGTTTTGCACAGTAAAATAACATCTACAGCTAGTTGCTATAATAATTTATATCAATATGAATGAATATAATCATCATCATCATCATCATCATTATTATTATTACTCGCTGTATCTCTTTTGATATTTAAAGGATTACAGATTATTATTATTATTGTTGTTGGAACACTGTTGTTGTTGAAGTTGATTAAACTCAGGAAGTGTCAGTACCAGTAAGTATTGCAAATCGTCATTATAGTGATAATTATTATTGATTATGTTAACTAAATACCTGCAAGGTCATTGACATACTGTATATACTGTTGCTCTGCTTCTTCCTGACATAATTATAGGAAATACAAAATCACAATAAGCACTAAATTGACTCTGCCATAGAGTTTAGATCTGTATATAGTCACCTTTGATATACTTCCCAAACTGTCCCAAGCAGTCCACTTTGCTTTGCCAACAAAGTCAAATGCACCTGGCTTTGGAGAGTTACATGCACCAACTGTTGCCTTGGAAAAAAAATAAATTTTTGATAAGTTTTTGATAAATTTATCAACTTTGATCAAATGAGTTTTGTCCTGATTGATGGGTTGAATGATCAATTGGTCTGGGATCAGGGCCGGGTTGTTAAAAGCCCAATTAGTGATAATACTGGGTTAACTCTTAGAAACCTATGGTTTTAACCCTGGATTAACGCTAATCGGGCTTTGAACAACCCAGCCCAGTTGTGTGAAGGGTAACACACCAACTGTTGCCTTGGAAAAAAAATAAATTTTGGTAAGTTTTTTATTAATTCATCAACTTTGATCAAATCAAACACACAAATCAAACACTCCCCTCCCTGACTAAAAATAAATGCTTTACTTAAATGTAAAATAAATAATTTATCGATGATTTATCATTATCTTATGATAAATAAATCATCGATAAATTGCATTTTATAATAATTGCAATCAAAGTTAGTTAGTAACTATGTTGCAATCAACGAGCATGGTGGTGATGRTATTGCTCACCCACCCTCCCCTCCCTAATAACACTGCCGGTACAAAGTACAAAGTCCAACCAAAACAACACACATTTCACAATATAATGATCGATACAATGATCGAATACTAGAAGATAATAATCAATCGCTACTTAAGAAATTCTAACTTTTCGATCACATTTTAAGAATTTTTCAAGTGAATAAGCGTCTAATACCTGTTTAAAAAGAGCGTACAACTTGAGTTTCGCCTCGTTACCCGGGTCTTCTTTCAGCGTATTTACACGATCCTTAGCCAAATCAAACTCCTTGCTTGCAAATAGCGGACGAACTGTTGTTCGTATACCTCTGATTGCAGAAAACTTGGGAAACTTTGAAATATTTGTGAGACGAGCAGCCATTTTGTAACGGAATGTTTATTATGAGAAACCACTGTGAATGTTAACAGTGGGCTCAAACCACAGGTAGTCCATTTTTTTAAAACTTATAGTTTTGGAAAATATTGAATTACTGTGTAGATATAGATTTTAGAATATCAATAATATAGATTAGGACTGCAGTATTTTAGAAGATAATTTCGGCAGCTAAATTTCAAGTATTTATGGCTRAAACGAATATAAACCCCATGCGTGATACATCGCCCTTGGATTGGGGTTCCTGTGTTTGGGGTCGCAAGGGTCGAATGTTTACTTCACGAAAACTTCTTCGCCAACATTACAYTTCTAAATATCCCAAATAATAGCTTTAAAATGATAAGAATAATAGCCTAAATGGCACATAATGATTTACAACTAAGGAGACTGTAATGTTGTTCTTACACTCTGTATTTTGAAAGGGAGAAGTGCGCCAAAAGACTACAAGATGATGCGATTCAACGACAAACATGGAGCTCATGTATCGCTCTCTTCTTGCAAGACCGTCGCCACAAGGGTGAAAAGCTTTGCAAACGCAGTAGTTTTCAGTCACAGACCTTTGTCAACACTTGAAACGTTTATGTTTGAGATAKTTGAGCAGGAACAAGGCTGGTCAGGACATGTGAGATGCGGCGTAACAGCTCACAACCCTCGAGACTTCAAAATTCCCCCCTACTTACTCCCAGACTTGGCTCAAATGGGGAGAACCTGGGTGTTTGCGATCAAACCCAATAATGAGAAACCTTTAGGAGACGAGCATCTACGGGACGACGGAGGGCATAATTATCAACGGTTAGAGGCAGGCGACGAGGACAATAATCTTCTCTACTGYGGGGAAACAGCGTTCAAGACATATTTGCGACCGACTGACAAAGGAAGTCGTATTGGTATACGTAGAGGAACATCTGGCGACTTATATTTTTACATAAATGGGAAAAAATTTGGACCTTGTGGTACTGGGGTGCCATCTGATGTTTATGCGGCAGTTGATGTTTATGGATCTACAAAGGGGGTAAAAATAATMCAATGTGGAGGTAAGATTTTTGATTTGTTTTTGTTATGTTATGAATATGTAAGGGTCCGGAAGGGCAGGAATTATCCCTATTTCAATTGGGAAAATGGGATTGAATACCGTACACTGGGACAGGGATTTAACAATACAAAAATAATACAAACTGGAAATGGGATTGAAAACTTGACCAAACTAATGGGATTACATCAGTGGGATCTTGTCCAGATATAGAAAAATGGGATTCCCCYAAGGACACTTTTGTACGATTTGTTGTTATGGTTTCAATTTCATTATGCTTGTGCTTAAAAAAAGAATGAATTTAAGAATTCATAGGAAATTTATTTTTGGTTTTTGTTTATCACACCCATCTTTCAGCAGGCCTCCAGTTTTTTCAACAAGCTGTTTAAGTATCTCTCTACCCTGAATTAGATCTACAAATGCCCCCTCCCCCACCCCTCACACATTGAAAAAGCGATGTGGTCATCTCCCCTCCCCCAAACGCTTCACCATCCCTGTCTATTTATTCACAAATTATCCATATATATTGGTCCATCCATCTGTCCATTCAGTCAGTCATTTATCCCTTTCATTCTTCCCATTCAATCACTCACATTATACCACTGTCTAATCAATGTCTATTTTTTCAGTTCCAACTCTTCTCAACTTTTGCTGCAACAAGATCAAAGTGTTAACCAAAGACCAGGACTTGGAGTCTCTTCCTATTCCAGTTATACTACAAAAATACATAGCATCCTTTTGACCCCAAATAATTCATGTACCTTTAATCTGGCAAATAGAGAAACACAATTATTTTTAAAACTCTAATGTTTCTAAAATTTCAAGCAAAACAGTCTGAAATAAGTCATTATGTCATGCTAAGAAGAATCTGTTGTATGAATTAAATATATGGTTGTACATGTGCATGGGTGCTGATGTAGAGTGCACGCCAAAAAAGCGTGAAACAATTCTTAACTATCAACATCTCATAAGATTTAGTTATCAAGTAAGTAAGAATTCACTGGGACATGAACACAATACCAGAAAGGAAACTTGTCTTTGTTTATGCCTCACTAAATTCTTAGTCAGTTGATAACTAAATCTTATTAGATGCTAATTAGTTAAGAATAATTGTTTCACACATGTGGCGTGCACTCTACTATAGTACATTATTCAGTACATTAGAGCCCTGTATATGTACACACATATTAGGAGGCTAGGGACAAATCCTACTTGTCCTGCCTCCTATCCAAGAAGAACAGGTATTATTTAACAAGTCTACTTCTAAATGGATAAAAAGAATTCCATCTACATCATCATGTTTTAATTAAAAATCATAAGAAAGTTTTGTGCATTCCTATCACCTTTAGTCTATATACATTTGTTCCCCACCCCCTCCCCCCATGCATGAATACATTATTTTACCCACAGAKGGGAGGGGTTGGGGACAAAAACATCAGAAACTCACCTTAAATTAATTTACATCTAAGAGAGGGAATTGCTGTYGATAATTCCATGCATGTGAAATTAAATGTTTCCTGACAGAATAATAACAWTTATGCAATTATTAGTTGTTAGCTAGTTTAATTTAATGTAACTTATAAAGAATAAAAAAATTTATACAAATGATTCGTTGCGCTCTCACTTTTTCTGATACTGTCCTCCAACTTTCCAAATGGTCTTTTTTAAATACAAATTAAATTCTGGTCAACTTCATCATCCCACATTCTACTGTTTTGAACTGTTCTTGCAGTGCTTGGTCTTATTTTGTTTCTTCAATTTTCTTGGTCAATAAATCAGTTTTTCTAGTCAATTTCAGCCCTCTTTCTTCTTATTTCTTTGCCAGTTTTTTTTTATTTTCTCTCATTTTTTTCCCTTGATTCACGTTTATTCCAGAATTCCCAAAATATTTTGTACAAAAAAAATCCCATTTTGAAATATTTCATTCCTCTACTTTTTTTCTTCTTCTTCTTTAGTAATGCGTCACGCAACGATTTGGCATCCGAGTAACGCACTTGCGGAAGTGCCGCGTTACACTGATAACGCCTGTATGCGTGAGGTACTCTTACGTCATATCCTCAAGAGGACACACCTGAGCTAACCAATCAAATTGAGCCGTTCAAATTTAAAATCACTTAACTGCGTCTTGTCAGTTCTTTTCCATAACAACCTTCGACGCAGAGATGTCACGCGCCATGAAATTGTTACTTGGTATGTAATTTGTTAACTGATTGTCCTTTTAGTAAGAGATTTCCTTGAGGTGTGTGCTCAGTTGCACATCTTGTAAGTAAGAGACCGTACCGAAAACGCGCCTCGTGACGACACCACGCATCACTCAAACGCAAACACCTGACGTAAACGGACGGACTACCGTAAATGGACCCCACACAAAAGCGACAAAGGCACCCCCAGTAAGCGGGCACCTCTCACAAACGGGTACATACCGTCAACGGAAATCCCCTTTAAGAGACCACATCCCTCAAGGGAATACGTCTGGTCGTAACAACGCCCTCTTTCAAGTCAGAGATAATTTGCATTAGGGCTTGTGCTAGGGCTTAGGGTTAGCATCAGAGTTAGGGTTAGCATCAGAGTTAGGGTTAGTACTGCTAGGGTTTGGAGTTAGCGTTCGGGTTAAGTTAAGTGTTAAAATTTTTGGCAGAGTAATTTGCATTAGGGTTAGTGCTAGGGTTTGGGGTTAGCATAAGGTTAGGGTTAGTGTTAAAGTTCACTGGTAGAGTAATTAGCATTAAGGTAAGACTTAGTGTGAAAGTTTCTGGTAGAGTAATTAGCATTATGGTTTGTGCTAGGGTATGGGGTTAACTAGTTGATACTTACAGGTCTATCAAAGTCGCTACAAAATTGTTTTTTCGTAATTTTTTCACTAAATTAAATGTAATCTTCATCTCATTTGGCTGTCTATATCTATATTTTATGTTTCTTTTTCAATAAATTTTCTTGACAAAAACTAGTAAAGGGCTGAGTAAAAGTGGAATTTTGCGGGAAACCCGCGGGTTCGAGCGGGACAAGGAACAAGCTTCCAAAATACTGTCACGTGACCAGAAGACACATGCATGTGCAAAAAGCAAAACATGGAGGAAAGTGCTGAGAAAATGCTTTATTTTACACGTTTAAAATCCAGAAGGAGGCTAAAAAAACACTCAAAGAAAGTATTCAAATGCTTAATGGACATTATGAAACCATAAAAAGGTAAGAACTTCAGAAGAGTTGTATGTTATGAGGTATTTTAATGGCGCGACTTTTGAACTGTGTTGTCCGTTTCTTGTAACCASCTATGCTTCTCTGATCTTTCTAATTCTCGTCGTCTTGTTTTAAGTCTATTTCTGCTGTGTTTCTGTACAGGCGACTAATACGAAGGTCTAKTAGAACATGAAAATGTAGTCTTTTTAATCAAAAGTTAAATAAGTTATTAGTTTTAGATCATTTTACTCATAAAGTCAGTGCTCCCTCTAGAGAGTTTATTTTTTTTCCATATACCTGTCAACTGAAACGTGATTTTCAATGACAATGTTATATATTTGTACAATACAGATCTGAAAGATGAACACTGTGTGCCAAATATGCAGTTGTACAAAGAATACAGCACAACCTTCCAGATGCACTACTACTAAGCTTATATGCACGGTAAAACTTGATGTTATGATGGCTGACCATAGCATGAAGCAATCCTAAATCTATGATGTACTAGCTGCTTTGCTATCATCAAACTCACTACAAAGAAAGTCATGTATTATGACTGTAGAAATGCCTGTCAGCCACTGGAACTGTCTGAATTTTATTCAGGTAATTTACAATTTATACAATACCAACATCATGTATACCGACTTTCAAAAATGTCAGTATTTCATGACTGCCAATATCAGGGGACTAGTGACGAATTATGGGTATGAGACCTCAAAGGCCTTCTATCTAGAAATCACTATGAAGATCGCATGTAGGTGGTGTTCAAAAGCTTGAAAGATGCATTGGTATGTTTTTTTATAACAAACACTCCTTCCAAGACACCATCAAAGTTACTATAGGGAGGCTRGCCTTTGAGACCTCATTTTAGTGTTTTGGTCGGCGACTGTGAAATATAAGGCCATTTTTGAAAGTCGTGAATACATCTGTGCTTTCAACTATTCTCTAAGACACCTTTAGACTTGACAAACACCAGGGATGTGAGCAGGGGGGTTCCATGAGGGGGTTCTAGCTTTATTTTTGCGGTTTCAAGACTGTGAGGAAAGTGATTCACTGCAAAATTGCACGAATATTGATTTTGATTCACACCAAACAAACTGTTGAACAATCCAAAAATGTGTTACCCTATTGATTTGGCAAATTTATAAAGTCTCATATTTTAACGACCTCATACGCTAAAGGAGGAAACCCCTGGATAGAATGACCCCCTGAAAACACCCTTGCCTTTAACACTGTCTTTGGAGAGAGAATGAGAATGATTGTGAAAGTCTAAGAAAACTGCTATGACACCAAAATTCAACAATCATAATTATATAGCTATTTCAAAAAAGKTTGTCGGATARAATGGMAAATGTCAATTGTCGAACTGCGATTGCACRACYGAAAGTAGTCATGGGTTTTGCTAATTAATGAGAAATAACAACTGATTTTTACTCTAAGATAGTCTGTGGTAAACATTGTTTGCATTTAGTCTCYRTKTCTTTGCAAGATGAATCCAGAAGTGAAMTTTTGTTTATCAAAACAGTGTAACCATAGTCCCTTTCGGTCGTGCGAYCTCCCTTTGACAATCACCGTTYRCTGTTCTCCCTGACAACKTTTTTTGAAATAGGTATATACTTGAATAGTTGGGTTGGAATAGATCCATGCATTTATTATGATTACATTGTTGTATTTTTCTCATCTTTGATAATAATGCTCAAAACATATTCTGCTCTATTTTTTACAGATACAAATAATCCACCAAGTAACAGTTACAGTAAATCCTTGAAGATGTTCCCAAAGCTGCTGAATTTGAATGGGAGAGAATGAAAAGGAGAGTTTTAAAAAAATGAGATTGAAAGAAAAATG